TAATAGCTCCTTCTATCATCTTTAATTCACTCCCTGATGATGGCGGCGCTGCTCGCTGCTCGGGGTAATCATGTGATGTATGAGTCCGCCCAGCACCTTGTGGCAGAGGTGAAAATCATTCCACCCATGCAGATAGCAAGCCTGGGAACAAATGTTTTGTAACCTTAATAAAAATGTATGCATTTGATATCAAGTGTGAGTATTTGAATACATGATATATAAGTATGTGAGTGAGTGTCTGTGTTTAAATAAACTGTCATGATGTATCTTTCTCTGTTGTTGACTAATTCAGTGAGGGAAACTAAATTGTTTCCCTATTTCACATGACATTTTTGCTCTACATTCAATCATTTTAAAATCTACATCAGATTTTCTAAAGTGCCTTTTAAAGGTGTGAATGTGAAAGTAGCTTTTTAATATTTTGATAATGATAAAATCATAAATAAAATTTTAAAAGTGATTATATTTTTCCTGGAAGGTAAATCTTTGCCCCAATCTCAAGTCTTTGCAGCATCTGACCTGTATTTTGCTAACTAGCTTCTGTACCTGCAAAATGGGACTATCCCCACAGCATGACATAGTCTCTGCCATGTCCTATCATGTTAGTGAGATTCTCATGGTGACTTGCAATGGCTTTACATGTGTGACTCATAACTTTATTTTTATGGCCTCTGACAAGAACATACTTTACTTCATCCCTGTTGTCTCCCCAGTTTATCTGGTTTTGGTTACCTTTAAATAAAACTTAAAATTTCCTCACCAATGACTCACTTCTAACCCCTCTTCTGAGGGTGAATTTACAAAGCTGACATGCACGTGCACTTGTTTCTCCAGGCAGAAAATTTTGCTCTCTGAAGCTGTTAATATTTGTAGCTAGTCCACAGTTACCATGTGCTGAATATCTGTTTTTTCTGATTCATGTTCTTCTTAACTTTGTCTTTCACTTTAGCTAGATATCGCTTTAATAGCTCTTTCTTAGTTATTAGACTAAGTATTTACTTTGTCCCTGGTGTATCCCAATAAGGTTTTTGGTAATATGGCGAAATTTGAAAGAGTGAATACTTCTTCTTTAACCTTTTTTTTATTATTATTTTTATGATCAGGTTCCATTGAAGTCCTTAATGTTTCTCAAATGTGATGCTGGTCTCTGCTGGAGTTCCCCGTCTTTAGCCTGGATTCCTTCTCTAATGAGGGGCGTCAGCTTGTACTAATCAAGTAATGTCCATCATTGAGCAAACAAATAGGTCTATTTGCCTTACAGAGGTCAGGACACAGAAAAGCATGCACGCACACAGCTATCAGATGATCTGTGTGAACTGTCCCAGTTGCCCCGTAAGGCTGAGCAGCGCCACGGTCTTTGACTTATCAATCATCTGCATGTGAAACCACAAATTTTTAAACCCCTGAACACAGCCTATTTGTTTTCGTCGAACGTTTACCTTACAGAAACGTATATGTTTATGAGATGAAATGCTCTCATTGAAACCAGTGGAGCGGGAGAATATCTGGCCTGAATCAAATATAAACTTCTAGCCCCGCACACAAGGGGACATGTCCAGAGGAGAAACAGCAATGAAGGGATACGGTTACCTTTAAAAGCCCTTGTCCCTCCACCATATGGCAAACTTCTCATCTAGGCTTGTAACCATGTTACACAGTCTGCACACTGGAAATCACTGCACAGGCTCCCAGGGCTGCAGCACATTGAATTCATGCCTGGCCCAGCTCAGTCAACTAGTTTAAACACTTTCCCTTTCAAGAAAGCTGGACTCACACATTGCTTGTGCCAAATATAATAGCTGCACAGACCCTGTAATCAGATGTTGCTCGAAGGAATAACTTTAAGACAAATTCAACTAGTAAACCTTGTATGTTTCCATAAATACTTTCTACAAACATAAAAAAACTCTGACATATATTTGTTACACTAAGCTGAGTCAGCACTTTGCACTGTTGTAGAGATTTCTTTCATTACAGCAAACATATTTTGACAGCACTTATTATTCCGGTAGAGGAAAACAGCTTATGTTGTACTTATTCTGCATTTTACACCTTTGCATTCCTTGTCACATACATTGTGCACTGAGACTACCCCGTCGGTTTATTGATACTGTGTAAGGACAAACTGCTATAGGCTTTGTTTTCTCTCCCTGTATTCATAAATAAAAAAAGTATATGGTTAAAATCTTGAGGTTATTTCTTGGGTTGGTGCCTCACTGTACAACCTGTTGCCAAATTAACCCATTGAGTCAATCAGAGTAATTGTTAATTAATGTCTAGTGAGCACAGATTTTGAGTATGTGTGTGTGTGTCTATCTTTTTGGATTAAGGAATCCATGGCTGACACCGTAGAGGTACAGTGTCACACAGGAAGCCCTTCAGGAATGTTCCTTTGAGCAGGGATGGGTTTTTGAACCTCATTAGCAGAGCCCCTTCTCCCCGTGACCTGTCAGCCCACGTTAGGCACAGCTCAAGACAAAGCAGCAGATTCCTGCAGATCATTTCCGGCTTTAGTGTCTGTCTCGCTCACTGTGTGACACCTGGCCAGCAGTATGTCTTGTTAACTCCCTTGTTCATCACCTTTCATCACCTATTTGTCCGCAAGTGTGTATGGCTTTGAGCTGATCTGGTGCCATCTCTCCGGTTACATGTGGGATTAATGTTTCCGCCTGTTCTTTTACCTTCACATTCCAAATCTTTGTCTGTTTTTTAAACTGCTACAGAAAACATTTCTACCCAGAGTTCATGTTCCATAATGTTTTGTTTTTTTCTTATTTTAAAGCAGGGATTAATTCAGTCTCTTTGCCACCGCCAATATCCACCTGCATGCTAAAGCACTCTGAAGAAGCCCAGAGTGGATTGAGGGGTCATACTTCCACATCCTGTTTGATTCTATTCACAATTAACCTTCATGTGATTCTGTCTGTTTTCACTGCATGCTGGAGAAAGAGTTCAGGAAAAGGAAATATAAAACAGTCAGCACAGTACAATGTAGAGCAGATCATGTTTCTCAACCATGGCATCAATGCAAACAAATAGCAAACTTGTTTTGGTTTTTTGGTGTAAGATCTAAAAAATAAATTTATATAGACTTAGACTTAGACAAATTTATTTGTCATTTTGCTTACACAAGTGTCAAAAAATATATATATATAAACAGTAATATAAACATATGGCTGTAAATGTACAGTTTTAACATTTCAGGGTTTTTTCTGTTTTTTATATATAAGATGAAAAATTATAATAAATATAATAAAATACAATACAATAAAATATAAAATTTTTCAAAACATTCAGCAGTCGAATGGCAGTGGGGAAGAAACTGTTATGGAATATAGAATATACGAGTTAAAATCATAAATATAATATAATAAATAAAATATAAATATAGAGCTTTTACTAAAAAAATTTGGTCAAGTTAAAACCCTAAACTTCAATTGACTTTCTGCTCGTTCCACATGATAGACCAACATTAAAGTATAGACAATTGTGAAGTAAAGGGAAAATGTTTAACTAATAAAAATGCATAAAGTGTGGCATGCATTTGTATTTGATACATAATAACATTAAGTACAAGCACCTATTTTCAGAAGTAATTGTATTTGTAAACAGAGGGTACATGTGTGTAATATAGTCTTAGTATAGATCCAGGCAATGTGTGAATGTGTAGGAAAAAAAAAAAAAATTAACAAACTGTAATTGGAAAAATAAGCTAAGCTTAAACCATTATTTGAAAATTGAAATACAACTGCAAACCTTCCAGAATGCAACATACATGGAAAGGAGAAAATGAATGTAAAGTACATATCTAACCTTTATGGGATATTTGTACGAGTAAGTAAATGTAGAAAGAATTCTATACGCCATGCAAGACATACAAGCAAATTTTGGGAGAAGATGCTCAGGTGAAATCAAATTTAGACCTTATGGGTTACGTGCAAAGTGATCAGTTTGGTCAAAATCTAACCTAACTTGAGCAAACCACCTGAAAGTTGTCAACAACTTTATGCAATAAGATTTGTTTTTCTTTGGGAAGCTTTTCAGAGTTGATAGTATAATAAATGGAACTAAATGATGTGATACTGGGACGAAGCTTCCCCCTCCATCAAAACACAGATATCGAAAGTACAGTCAGCAATGCAATGAAATAGTTCAGATCAGGGGTCTCAAATGTGGTCAGTGTCCTGAAACATTCTTACCTGGCAGGTTGGACTCGGTGAGATGTTTACATTGTCCATCATGCCTGAATAAACCAGTTGAATTACTACAGTAGCAGCCATTTAAAATGGCCTTTCCCAGTCAAATGTCAGCCGAATGGAAGCCCACTTCCCTGCAGCTCCCTGCAAAATCCCCTCTAACTTCCAGCAATTGGCCTTGTCTTAGGCATGCATTTTGTTTTACTCTGACCTTACCCTTTCTCTGAATTACAGGGTCTGACCAGGAGATGACGCTTCTCTTTAGGTCTTAATGTCCACAAATCATGAAAGAAAGAATATTTTAATACAAAGATTGACGTTTAAAGAGGAATGGTAGGGGACCAGCCAAGGACTCAATTTTGAATGGCTACTACTGTATATTAAAAGACTTAAATTGAAAGAGAACCTGACTTACCCTCAGCTTTTCTAAAGACGTTTCAACTCCTATCAAGGAGTCTTTGTCAATTCTGTCAGCTCGGTCCAGAGCTCCTGGATAGGTATCAAAACGTCTTCAGAAAAACTGAGCAAATTTTGCCTTCCAATTTAACCCTTTCCTGTTGTTGCCATGACCTGGATGACTGAGATTTTACACAGACGTATAAAAGAATGTTATCATGCATTAGTAATGACTTCATAATTTGAGCATTGTCAGATATATTTAAGCAGAGACTCAAAGTATTTAACATTTCTGTGGAAGCTTTCATTAGAGATCATGAAGAGAACATATGTTTCCAGTATCTTTCAGTCATTTAACAACATATAATCAAGCATCACTGTGTAATATAGCTATTATGTCATTCACAGGTGATGGCGATGATGACTTTGCAGTCTATTCAAGCAGCGTCTTAGACGACGTTTGTGACTCAAATGGCGATCCTTCACATTCTACAGCCCAGGCAGATGACCCGCTGTCCGACGATGACTCTTCACCTCCATCACTCCAACAAGCAGGCATTCTTTTCCCTCAAAGCAACTTAAGCGTTCCTCTGGACTTTGAATTGAGAGAGTCAACGGTTCCAGGTGCGAGTCTGGGCATCTGGAGCCGCAGGAAGGTGAATGTAGGGGAAAGCTTTGGACCATATGAGGGAAAGCACACGCCCTGTCTCCAAGATCCCACGCAGGGTTGGGAGGTAAGAACACGCATCTCTTTTGCTGTTACTCCACAGCTTGAATCAAGAGTAAGAAAATTAATTATTTAAGAAAGCAAACTGTATCCCAACTCAAGCTGACTCCAAACTTAGAGGGATATTTCACTTTAACTTTGTGGCAATGTATTGAACACTGTCTATTTTCGGAAAACAAATTAGATGTTTAAGGATAGTTCTCATGGTGAATATTTTTGAAAGCTCTCCCATAGGAAAGCAAAATCCAAGAAGAGATCTCATTGTTGTTTCTTTCATTTCTCCTAGACACAAATGAGCTATTTTTGATACTAAGGTGAGACCAAAGGTTTTTTCTCCTGCTTCTCAAATTCAACTCAGGAGAAACAATCACATATAATCTCATGTTTGATCAAAACAAGAGATCTCTATATGATCTGAAATATGTCTAATTTCAGCCTCCTAAACATGAGACCATGAGATCAAAGAAAGAGCTCAAAGAAAACTCAGCTATGACTCCCAAGATCTCATTATTCTTCTCAAATATGTCTCAGTTTTCTCATAGTGACCTCAGAATAAACAACCAGAGTGTGTCTTACTCTGATCAAAAGAAGAGATCTCTAAATGATATTAAATAAGTCTCATTAAAGTCTCCCGAACATGGATAAGAGAAGCTCCATGAAATCTCATAAATAGAGTTACTTGCAGGAGTATTTTGATTTTACTGGACATACTACATTTCAAATTCTGCATTGTAATTATTGTATTATATTACTGTAAGTTCCTTACCTTGTAACTTACAAGAAAACAAGACAGAAAATAATGCACTTTTAAATTCCAAGTTTTCCAATTTATTAATAAAATAATAAAAGTCAACATAACTAGACAACCAACCGCTTCAGTATTATCTTTAGAGATTAATGCAAATTCATTAAGGATGCATGTAAGTACTGTACAGAAATCATAAAGAAAAAAGAAAAAAAAATGTGGTTAAGAAACATGAATCCTCAGTGCACATACAGTGAGAATGAACTATATTTCAAATAATTTGTTCAGTGTTTACAATTGTGATCGGATTCCATTCCTAATCTTTCTCCAGAGTATTGGGGAAATTTGCTGCAAAGACAATGCCTGGCATAGATGACAAATCTAGGTAAACAACTTTGCCTAGAATATGATCAACTGGAACAACAGTCACATTGACAGGGACTTCCAGAAGAACTGCAATGTGAAAGCATGTACCATTTGTCACATGGTCCCGCAACAAATGGAAACCTGCACTTTCAAATTCAGTGACAATGGCCAGTTTAGAGTTGTGACCAAGTTCCTCACTGGTCAAAAAGAACTCTACTTGACCATACTTTTTTTCCTCCCCATTCCAAAACATGACAGTGAAGTTGTTTCGTCTTATGCCTTTGTTGTAGTTCCTGGAAGTAAGTTGGACTTTTCCAACTTGAGCTCTGTTAAATGCCCTGACTAAGTTATTCTGAATGGGATGTCCAGCATATTTCTGCAATGCAGACAGATGATTTCCTTCAAGTTGATGATGAGTCCATGCTCCAATTAACATTTCCTTTGAGATTTTGTTGCTTTCTGAACAGAAAGTGTAATCATTTGACATTCTTGCATAAAAATCTGCTATGGCCAGTTTTGGTTTTACAGTTTGTGCAACTGAAGGCAGAGATTGTACTAGCTTTACAGCATTGATCATCTGCATTGGTATGTTTTGTGTGCCATGAATGAGCCGCAACAAATAACCATTTTTGTCTTCAAAATGAAAACAGGAATGAGTCCATAATGGTCCAAGGGCTCTGACACTGTCTGCCAAATGTACTAGTAGATGCACGTTTGCAGTTTCATACCTCTTACCATAAAGAGGACCCATCTGGGAACAGAAGTTCCAGAGTAGCTTTTCTGCATGGTCAATCTGTTCCTTGGTTATTGATTCCATCAGGAGTATGTAAATGGCCTCACTAAGGAGAAGAAAGTGGTTGTAATATATTGCTCCAAGAATGCCATAGAAAACAACTGGTCCAAAAAATAGTAAGAGAGAACGGTATTCGGACGCTTTGAAATACATCCTATGTGAAGACACTGAACGAGGATGGCGTGTCACAGTAGATGGGGGATGGATTTCACTCAAGCGTTTGTCAATTTCCTTTGATTCTTTGGCCATGCTGAAAGGCTCACGAGAGAACTCCATAGAGAACCACAGAAACATAAGAGTACGCATGACTCCTAGAAGTACTGAATGCATATAGTCAACTCCGGTCCCAAGAATAACATCAAAGCTATTAACTTTGGTTAGCCAAGTTGGGCCTTTAACACCGTGCACATGACCTTTTGTTGCAAGTGCAGATTTGGCATCATTGACCAACTTGTCATGTGTGCGAGGTGGCCCTTTCGGATCTGAATGCTGAAATGGAAATGCATGCATATGTCCTCTTGCCCCTGTCTTCTCAGTTGTCCCTGGCTGTTCACATTTCATGCATCCATACTTCCCATTGAACTGCACAGTATTTAACACCATTGCTTTGGCAGGCAGGTCACATGTACCAGCAATAGTCAGAACCTTGCACAAAAAATACTCTGGTGTCTCAGGATGTTTGACCAGAACACCATGCTCCTCAAGTTCATGAAGCTTTTCACACAGTGGTTTCAGAAAAGTCAACATTGAGGGTTTTGAATCTCCAAACCAAAGTCCTGCAAAGATCATGTTCTCCCTCTTTGTGCGCTCAACAAAGCTCAGTTCATTGATCACACAGTAAAAAGGCCATACTGAAAATTTTGAGGATTTGAAAATGGGAACTCCATCTGTGTTCCATGTGAATGATATGTTGTGTGGATTGCACAATAGCCCATCACCACTTGCATACTGTTTGTACACCTGTCCATCATATATGTCTTCAACATTGTCTTTCCCTTTCTTCTGCCTCATGAACCTGAATTTTAGTTTTTCTTGGAACCCTTTTTTGGCAAATAGTGTCTGCAGTTGTGCCTCAATAGAGACCTCAATGAAATGGGATGTTGCACCCTCTTCTAACAAACTGACCTCACATAACTGACAAATTGTATCATCATTGTGTACTGTTGACAAACAATTGCTACAGTACTTATGCATGACTACAGGTGATGGAACTGAGTGAGAGAAGAAGTCTTTAAACTTGTGGATGCTGCCCAAGCAATCTGTGTTTAGGTTTTTAGGACAAAGCAATGTGATCAATTTCAGCAAATCACCAAGGGCTTTTCCAGTCACCTTATGACAATTAATATATGTCATAATTAAAAGCAGACATTCTGCAACAGATGTTGGGGCATTCTCATACAAGGGCATGTCAAATGAGTAGTCCTTCGGCATGGGTACTTCTCTTGAATCAGTCTGAGGCTCATCAAACTGCAATCCATCATCAAAGGTCCAGTCCTCCATTAAATCAGGCCACCCCCTACGCGGAAATGAATAGGGGAGCACATTGTAAGTTATGTAAATATTTCGTATTTGCTTTTTCAACATCTACTTATAACACTTTTGGGGCTACTCTAAATGTGAATGTGACATTTACCTGTCTTCATGATCATTAATGTCATCTTGATTTACTGCATCTTCAAAGTGGTCAGAATTTGATTCCACCTCTGGACAGTCAGGCCACCCACTATACAGAAAGAAATGGGATGGGGCACAGTAATGTATGTTATGTAAATATTCTGGATTTTCTTTTTAAACATCTATTTATTATACTATTTAGGCTGTGATATTTACCCATCTTCATTATCATGAATGTGATCTTGATCATTATCAACAGCATCTTCAAAGTGGTCAGGATTTAATTCCACTGCCAGAGAGTCTGGCCACCCACTATACAGAAAGAAATGGGATGTGGGGACACAATAATGTATGTTGTGTAAATATTCAGAATATTCTTTTTAAAACATATATTTATTACATAATTTTGGCCATTCTAATGTAATATTAACCTGTCTTCATTATCATGAATGGGATCTTGATTGACTGCATCTTCAAAATGGTCCGGATTTAATTCTACTTCTGGACAGTAATGATTGCAGTTATACATGTTTAACTCCAATTGCACAGCTTCTAGGAGAGAACAAATAAGGGCTTAAGATTGTTGAGAACTTTCATCACATGTAAAGTATCTTGTTAATTTTTTGGCAGAAACAATTACACAAGAACAACCTACATCTCAGATCAACAACACACCTGAGCTTTGCTCACCAATCTTCTCCATCTGTAAGTAACACAAAGAGACAAACTGAGATGACATTTTCAAATTTAAGCCCATATCCTATTGTATTGTGTGACTCGCACTTGCAGATAATTTAGCTACAAACAGTGGCAATCAATCAAACTCACAATGGCTAACTCACATTGCCAGCAGACTTAGTCCACCGGTGTCTTTTCTGCGGCGGGCCATTGATCTTTTTCCTCCAACGTGTAGCCATTTTGAGAGCACTATTCAACAGATCATGTTTCACTGGGGGAGGAATGATACAGTAATGTATGTTATATACCATAAATATTCCTAACATTTAGCAACATAACATTTCCATCATTTCTATTTTTAAATAATCCTTTCAGTAATTTTCAAGCACAACTGCCAAACAATCATTGGTTCTAGCTTTTTAAATGTAAAGATTTGCTGCCTTCTGAGTCATGTATGACAGTAAAGTGAGTTTTTTTGTGTTTTCGACTGTTGATTGGACTACACAAGACATGTGAAGACAACCCCTTGAGCTGTGAGAAATCATATTGGGCATTTAAAACTTTCTGATGATTCAAAAAAACGTTCTGATGACCAGGTGACTGACAGCAGAGGGTTAGGGGGGGTACCTTAACTAGAGTGAAAGGGTGCGACATATGGCTGACAAGGATCTGATGCAGTTTCCTGTTCAGGTTCGGACTTTTGCTCCTGTTCAATTGGGCATCCACCCAGAATATCCTGAAGAAAGTGTCAAACAATCATAAACACGTCTCAATCTGAAAATGCACTATAAATGCTTTCTTTTTGACTTCACTTGACTTCCTGTGATAGTGTAATCCTCAGTATACACAAGAAAACAAAGCTGTTCACTGGAAGTTGAGACTGCGTCTATGTGTATATATGTATATATATATATATATATGTATACATATATAAATGTGTGTATGTATATATATATATGTATATGTATATAGTACAATTTATATATGTATATATATATATATA